TTTGTAAGAAAAAGAGGTACTAGCTACAACTTCCTCATCTGACTGGCCAGAGCTGCCCTCTGTGAAATAATCCTCATGTCACTACTCCTTGTTGCAATTTTCTATGGCCCTCACTGTCATGGTTTGGTGAAGAGCAAGTCATAGAACGAATGGTATTTAAACCCAAGGGCCCTGTTTGGGCACAGGCTGTGACTCTGCTGCTCACTCTTCTCTCTACTAGTTATAACAAGCTACTTCTGTCCTGACCAAGGCTGCATTCTGGTTATTCCAGATGCTGGTGGGATTGTTGTTTGGGCTTCAGGAGGCCAGACAGGCCAAACTAGACCACGGGGGTGAGGTCACTAAGTCCAGCATGAGTGCTGTGGCTGCTCTTACCCCGCTCCAGTCATTAGGGCAGTAAATGAAAGTATGTATTTATATGGGGTTTGAATAATTCAATAGTATAGGTTAAGGACTTCTCCCAGTGCTGCAGCCACTGTGGGTTCAGCAGGTGTCTGAGTTCACTGAGTGTAGCACAAGCTAGAGAGCATCATTGTAAATTACTTTTCTTTCCTGCTGTGATTGAGCTTACAGAAAAGAAGCTCACAGAGGGAACAGTCTATCCCCCTTCAGTATCAGAATTTTGCCTTTCACAGCCGCTATCAAAGTAAGAACTGATTCATTCATACAGGTTATGTGGATAGCCAGACTGTGCTTCTCAAGCATAAGTGCTTTTTCTTTCTCAGCTTTGAAGCATAGGATTATGGTGGGTGAGTTTCACTAGCTCTGTGAGATCCTATCATATGATCACTAGTTAGGATGCTTGAGGAAACAGGCATTCAGTTTGTCTAAGAAAATTTAATTTAAGAAACTCCAGGGTCTTCTAACCTGTCTCCCAACAACACTTCTTATCTCAACATTGAGGTTTTAAAACCACATGGGAGAACAGGATTATAGGAAAAAGATCTGAGGAGAAACAAAGATACATACATTCATCTATTTTGCCTTTAACATATTTTATATATAAATATATACATTTTTTCTCCAACATATTTTTTATATATATATATATGTATATATACACATATACACTTTTTTTTCCTCCACACACAAAACACTAAAATTCCTTTGCCCAGGTATAGCCAGAGGTAAAATGCCTGTAATAGTAACAACCTCAATGTAATACAAATTATTTTGTAATGATCCTCCTACATTTAGAGTAATTTTCCCATTCCCAGTTTCTAGATACTAGGGAGTTCAGGTTTTAAAGAAAACCTGTAAAAACAAACTACTTAAAAAAATACTGTCAACTGATTGTTAGGCTTTGAGGCTAAACACACCCTTCCTATGCCAAACTCATAAGCATGACAGGGGTATACCTATTTCCCTCAATTTTGGGACTTTTTCCCAATTGTTTTCCTTTTCAAGGCAACAGGAATTGATTGTTAGAGTGAAGACTCTTATCACAAGGGCCCTACCTGTTTCTACCACCACCATGCCCAGAGAAAAATTTAAAAATACAGGAAGCAACAAAGAGCATATATTGCTGCCAGCTTATACAGAAACAGATGCAAAATTCATAGCAAGGAGTCAAAATTCTAATTATGCACAGGGTTTTTTAATTTGTTTTCTAGAAGTTGCTTCATTTGTTCATTGTAAATATTTTTCTGACACAGCTCATGGTGACAGCAAAGCATTCTCAGGTGAACCTAACTGTGTCTGTAGCACTTGCAGAGGAAGTTAATTCCTTGGCATTTAGCCATGGAACCAGAGCTCCCCAATACAATCAGTGGTGAAACAAAAGCATGAAATGCACCAGAGAAAACAAGCACTCCTGCCTATACTAGGAAGGGCGATCCATTATTTGCATAAATTTGATCCATAATTTGCATAATTTTTTTTTTTTGCTTCACATTAAAAGCCTCAAGAAGAACCTGAATTAAAACTGCACTGTGGTAACGTTCTTTATTCATTCACTGCTAGATGGAGCATCACCCCAGGAAACAGGACCATACTCTGAGAAGAGAGACCTTTTAAGTGAACCACTGCTTTAACAATCAGGAATCTGTTTTCTGTTTCTACTTCCAGCTCTGGTGTAAACCTTCTTGCTGTCTGTGGGCAGTCTCTGCCTTAAAGTTAGAACTGTAGTGCAAGCCTACCATTTATGCAAATTTTAAGCTTCTGAAAGTTGGAAGAATAAGACAGGCTGCCAGATACCTCTACTCTTCAGCTTTTTTTTCTCTTCAGGGAGATACTCAGTGTGCAATAAGTGAGGGAATCAGCAACCTTCAAATTTTAGTATGCTCTTCATGCAGAGTTCATGAAGAAAAGACCTCTATAACAACACTTGCAGCCTCTGAAAGTGTTTTCTGACTACTGTAGTTACTCATCAGCCTGACTTTACCTCTCCCTCACTTGTCTTGAGATGGGGAACAGAAGGAATCAATTACAGAATTTGCCAAAGAACGGACCCAAAGATGGCCTGAAGACACTGGAGAAAACCACATCTTCTTTCAGGCTATTTTTGGTAGGTTTCTCCAATACTAGGGTTAAACCACATTTCTATTGTTGAAAAATTTAGGCACTGGAGCTCTTAAGGCGTGTTTCACAAAAGTATATATTAAAAGGTTAAAAGGTTTTGGAAAATATTAAAATCTTCTTTAAATTCTTTAGCAATGATTAGAACTCTAATAGCTCTGTATCTTCCAGAAGACACACAATAATTTTAATTTTTATCCTTTTTTTAGTCTAGAACTAGGCAACTGTAGGAAGAAAACACTCTAATGGAATAAACACATAAGTTTTATATCTATTTGAACTTTATCTCTGCTAGTTGACAGAGACTTTCTCCCCTGTTGTGTATTTTCAAAATATTATTAATTCTACATGCAGATGGGGCTGACTGTTGTAAAGAAGAATTTTTTCTCCCCTTGGCTTGTTACAGCTTTACTTACACAAGTTCTTCCCTTCAATAACACTGTTCATCTGATTTTAGCTCCATCCAGGTTTCTCAGGGCAAAGCTCCTGGAACAATCATCTGCATTTTAAGAGGACAGTCTTGTGTACATTCCTAAGTTAAAACAGAAGTTAAAGCTGACCCTAACTTTGTTAGGCCTCTTTCCAGTCAAGCACCACCCTTCCTTTCCTTCCTCTCCAACAGAGCAGCTCATTTGTCAGAATGTACCACTTATGTCCCAAAACAACACCCATGGCTGAGAAATCCTTACTGCTTTTGTATCCCAATTCACTCTCAACCCCTGCCCTGGGAAAACACAGAAGATGGCCACTGCCACGCTACTGTAAAGCATTTGCAAAGGCACCAGCCTCCAACCCAAGTGTTCCTAGTACAGCTAATTCAATCCAAGCTCTTTCCTTGAGGCTGCAGGAAGCCTGAGCACTCCCACTGCCTTTCTGGAGTGCTCTCCCAACCACACCCCAGCCCCATAATTTTTCAGACTCTGCCAACCCCTCATACTTTCCACAGCATGGACCACTGCTGTTGAGTAAACACTGGCTCATACTATGTATGCCAGCAGTTCTGTAAGTGCAGGAAGTTAAACACTTTCCCCAGGCTCCAATCTCACCTGTCTCCCTCAGCTGATCTGTGTTCAACTCTGCAGGAATTTCAGTTTCCTCCCTCTGGTAGTCGGGCTTCTACATGGTTCCACCCAACTCTGCTTTTACACTTGGCTTCCTGACCATGTGCTCTTGATCAAACACTCATAGGCACAAGAAAGACCATACTGGCCATGTGGCTTGTGCAAGAAAAACAAGGTCCAAAATCCATCTCAATTAAATACTCGTTTTGGATGGACCTGTGGTACTACTGCACTTCCCCAGTAGTAAGATCAAGGATTTAAAAGAGGAAAAAAGACAAACAATTATATATTACAAACTAAAATTTGTCAACTGCTTGTCAGTCAGTTGTTCTGGGCTTCATTTTTTTCAGGCTTCCAAGGACACAAATCAAAACTAGTTTAGTCATATTACTTCCAACTGAACAGATAGTTTATCTAACTAGAGCATTTACAAGCTTCCCAAACTGTAACAAACAGAAAAAAGCAGTATCTTGAAAGATGAAAAGTCAGATATGCACTTAAGAAGTCAGCAGCAGACAGGACTACTTAATCTACTGATCAGAAAGGCACCATAATAGTAACAACGACAGTGAAATTGTATTTACATCATAACTCAAAACATTCTTCTCAAGTAATATGCTATGTTAAAGGATAAGGGCAGGGAAAGGGAAAAAAAAGTATGTGAATGGTTCGGCCTCAATAAATGATATTTACTTCCTCATTCAGTAGCACACAGCTACTGAGCAATGTCCTGGAGCACTTTCTTAACACAGACATGAGCATTTCAGCCACCTGCTGACAAGAGACACGCAAGTGTTTTGAACACAGATTATCACTGCTAATAATTTCTGCCATCTTATCTATTTCCCCCTTTCATTTTTATTAATTGTACACACATTTTAATCCTATATGAAATATGATTGATTTTAGAATTCATTATTCCTAAGGCAAGTAGAAACATTGAGGAGGTTATTTGGGAATACTGACAATAGAGGCAATTAAAATATATTTCCAAAAACTAGCTTTTAGATAAAAGCAGTAACTAGACAGAAATCAAAAGAACAATGTGATCCATAAAACAAAGTCAGTAATGGTTTTACCCCACTAGTCATTAACATATATGGCAAGAAGCAGATTCCAGTTTGAGATTACAAAAGATTAAATCAATTTCAATCTGCAACTAACTTAAAGAATGAGTTCAAAGTATTTTTAGGAATTGTTTAACAATTGTTTATATTATATTCTTAAGAGTAGCATTTCCTTTGTGTTGTCCCTGAATTAAACCTTCATTAGGTTTTATTAAAGAAAGGCACAAAATACAACTGCAAGCATAAATATACAAAACTTCTAGGAAGTTGACATACATTCATGTGTTAACTCTAACAAAGAAATTTCCTAGGCCATAAGTGAAAGCTTCTTGTGGGAAATAATTAATATGGACAATTCAGAAAACTTTACAAAAATACTTCTTTTTATTAAAAGCAGCAATTTCAAGCAGAACAATACAGAGAATGTAAACATCACTAAGTCCAGCTCCAGCCTGCTGAACCTTCAAGAGAGTCTACACTAAATGCATCTACTGTACTAGCATGTTAACAGACTATATTATAATTTGAAAATATATTTTCTTCTATGAATTAAGAAAAAGTACTTTATCGTAATCTGTCCCAGCGCCAGATACTGGCATCATCACACACAGCTATAAGGATACTGCTGTCCCTGCTAAAACTGGTCTGTCGGATGGCAGCAACACATTTAGGGTGAGTAAGAGTTGTACACCTAGAAAGCAAAGAAAATATTCAGCTGCAGTGTTAAATCTTCCTACTACATTATGGAGCACAGTTTCAGTAATCCCTTATTTATGTGACCCAGGAGGAATTGAAGGCAACAGGATTATGGCCTTCACGGTGTTTTTGTATTCCAGATGAGGACTTGGGACAGCAGTTTCCTGTGCACCCACAGTTGGTTCTCATCCACCCAATTTTTATTGAAGCAAAGACTGAAAGCTTATTGAATCACATTATTTAGGACTTCATAATCAGTGTTATTTCATAGGGTTAAGAATGAAAAATCAGAATCATGTGATTAAAGACTGCTGCACTACCAGGAACTTTATACATTAATGTATTCATTTATACATATTTACATGAATTATATCTATAAATATATAAAGATATGTATAATATATCATATAGGGTATATAAAAATAAAATGCATAAAGTATTTATATATACAGTGTATATCCATTTTATATACAACATTTTTTGGGAGTGGCTTTGGGGCCTTTTTTTGTGTTCAGGCTTTTTTTGCATTTGTATGTTTACACACATATATACGTACCTATATGTATCTAAGAGACATGCTGTGAAATTGCCTGGCAGCACAAGTGAGGAAGTGGAAAGCCACAGTGTTTTCTCCACACTGTGCTCATAGCTCACCTTCACACCCTCCTTTTTTACTCCAGCACATCTTCTCCTAATAGCTTTGCAAAATTTCCACCCAATTAGCAAAAACTCTGTGAGAAATAAATTGCTTTTTACTCTATCTATGCATGGCAGGCAGCACAATCCAACTGGGACCTCTTGACATTAATAAAATATAATTTATAAATCAGTGAGATAAAATAAACATTAACCTTGAGGGGCTCACAATGTTTATTTCCCTACTAATTATAATGGAAAGTAAGTAGTACAGTAAAGAATTTCTCTATAATCAGGAAATAAAAAAGAAAAATACCCCAACTCTCCGTCTTAGCAAAAACAAAATAAAGTACTCACTTGGCTTTATGTGGATCCTCTATTTCTAAATCCCAAACATAAAGTTTGCCAACCTGATTGCCCAGAGCAAGCATCTGAAAAAGAAAGCAGAGGATAAAGAGGTTTTAAAATACTCCCTCAAAGAATAAAGTCAGACATTTATAAAGGCTCTAGGGCTGATAAATTGTGTGTGAACATTTAAACATGAATGACTTAACAAGTTTGTTGGAGGAGTCAAAAAGGCTGTAGAACAATCTCTGCAGACAGGGGATGAAGACATCAGGAAACTTATTTCTGGTGGATAATTAGTATTTCTTTTATGGAGTTTTTTCCCACAGGTAGAACCCAGAATGAAAAATCTGGAGCTCTTTACTTGTAGCAGAGTACAGCTGTAGTAGGAATTTTGCTTTTTAAGTATAAGCTGCTTACCCACACATCCTGACAGGTGACAAAATTCTCAGCACACTCCCCAAAATCATTTGATGCAAGATAATAATTTAATTTGCAGGTTCATATAATGTCCCTTACAGCAAACCATTCTGTTTCTCAAATATCACATGAACCAAGACTCTTCCTATACCCATAAACATGTAACCAATGAAAAGCTACACACCTTCAAATACAGCAAAGTCAGACACATACCTTTTGCCAGAAATCCATTGAAAATCTCATGTACCATATGTCACACTGGCTGTAGTCAAATCTCCCAAGAATGGTCACATTTGACTCACTGGGCTTGATTTTATCAATATCATCTTCCATCTTGCCAGGCTTCCAGCAAACAATGGCATTTTCACAAGACTGGTGTGAAACAAAGAAAAGAAAAATCACCTGTAATTTATACTGCAGAATCAGTCCAACTAGAAGCAAACATTTCATCTCACATCTTCCCCAATGACACTATGAAAAGCAGAACTGAAAATCTCACCTCTGCCCTTAGATCACAGCCACATCACCAATAACAGTCACTGTCCATCGCTGGCAACCCGATGCCCTCCCAGCTTTGCCAGGGAATGGGGCTGCAGGGGCCCTCCCTCACCCGCTTCAGATGGAGAGCCCAGATGGCTCAAACACAATTTCACAAGCAGCCTAAACATACATTGGTTTGGGCATTGTTTACCCAATCCCTTTGACCAACAGGTTGGTGCACTCACCAATTGCTGGCATCAAGGCAGCTGGACTGCCTGCTTTAATAGCTGCAAGCCAATGTTACAAATGGACACAACACATAAATCAAAGTTACTCCATTATGGTTACTCCTCATCTTACTCTTTAGCAGGATCCCAAAATAGTATCTAGAGATTCCCTTTCCATATGTTCTGTGCAGATCCTGGTAAGCCAGAAACCCTTGGTTTGTAACAGAGTACATCTGTAGTAACATTTTGCTTTTTAAGTATAAGCTGCTTATACAGATCCTAACAGGTGACAAAATTCCCAGCACACTCCACAAAATCATTTGACACAAGACAGTAATTTAACCTAAGATCCACAAGCTAATAAAATTTCTAAGGTGTAGGATCCTCAGGACCAACAAATAAATGTAACATAGCTGAAAAATGCAGCATTACCTTGGAAAGAATTAGGTCTCCCAGCCACCGTACACAGTCAACATAGTTTCTATGTATGTCTCTTGTAGAAAAGTCAGGAAAGTGAATTTTCTGGGAAACAAAAGGCCTATGGAGAAAATTGCCAAGTGAGGTTCAGAAAAATAAATGCAGAAGCACAAGTGTAATTTTTAATAACCAGTTTTAACATATTTCAATGTTAAAAGAACAAGCCCAGCTTTTTAACAGTTTTATAACAAAGTAGATTTTGTATGCAGCTTGTTTTTCTTTTTAATAGTAATAGAACAGTCCTTGTTTTCATCCTCATTCCTAATGAAATAACTTAGTTTCTCATGTAAAAGACTGTGCAGAGATAGTGCTGAGTAAAACTACTCCTTCAGATGCTGAATACAATGCCTGTCACCAAATACTTCAAGAACTAATTAAAGCTCAGTCTTCCTGATGCTGCTGCTGCAACATCCAAATTGTTAAACACAAATGCACACTTTAAAAAAAAAAAAATCATCATTTTAAAAAAAGCACGCTAAAAAGCATCATTTAATATTTGGTAACATTACCAAAAAAAGCCAGAGTATTTTCACAGCTAGTCTCATTGCTGAACATGTTCACTGTGTTTTAGACTCTTCAATTCTCTCAATGGTTTAACTGGAAGTTAAGATCAAAAAGTTGAAGAACTTCATAAAGAAGGATTTATCTATCATGTATCTAATTGTTATGTTTACTTGATAATTTACTCATAGCTGAGGTCAAACCAGAGAATGATGAAAATTAAAGTTATTACTATGTGAATGGTTTTTTCCCCACCCCAAAGTAAAATAATACACAATAATTAGCTACTCAGTATAAGATTATTTGACACATTTAATTACACAGATTTGATTCCCTTCTAGAAATTTTGAGATGAGATGATATAAAGAAAAGATACTGACATCTTGAAATGCATGAAATACAAGCCTTAAGATAATAATTTTAGATATTTTCTAGTCTAGGAAATAAGAAATAATTGAGATATTTAAAAATAAAAAATTTTGGGACTTTGAATCAGAATTCAATAAAATTCCAGTGAAGCAAACAACAATAAGACACACAATCTAGTGAGATTCAGCATCCACATCACTACCCAAAAACTCCCAACATGAAAAGGAATTAACCTGGACTGTTGATAGGAGTATTCATGTGTTGTAAAGACAGACAAGGAGATGAAGACTACATACCTGTTGGTTTTGTTTGGGTTGTACTCATAAGACTCTTTGATAGCATTAATCATTCTCTTTGAATTAATTCTCCAGAGTTTTAGAGAGTGATCCATCCCACAGGACATGATCTTTTCACCAAGAAGATCGTAATCCTATGTATATAAAATAATTTTGAACATTCCCACTCTATGCTGCATTATGTCAACTCAGATTTTATTCCATCATTTCCATCAAAACAGCATTTTATGCACAGAGCATGCAATAAAACTGAATATTTCAAATAGAAAAACACTAAGAATGTAATCCAGCTCACTGCAAAGCAGCACAGCATCTTAATTATTATATTTAGTCTCTCTCAAGAAAGAGAGACATATTCAACAGCACTGAGAGTGAATCTACAGCTAGTTCTCCTCCTTCACTAAGTTCCCTAGGAGCAACTTTGGCAGAATTCCAGGGCTACAACATGGGTGATCAATACAGTGTCAGGTTTCCTCCAGATGCACCCCTCACCTTTCACAACAGGTCAGATAACAGGAATGGAAAGAGTTCTTAAGAACAGCATATTAAAAGTTAACTATTCTAGTTGATGTTTGCTGAGTACCAGTGTCTGTTCACAGCCACTGAAAAACAATTTAACTCAAACAACTTCTTTCCTTCACCACCATGTCTCTCCAGGTTTATTTGCTTATGCTGCTTTGACTTGATGAGAACTCAAGACCTTCAAAAGTGGGACCATCATGAAATGTTTTTACTCTTTCTAGCCCCACTGAGCCCTATTTTGCTCACTTCTAGGCTGCACTGTGAGTAAACCAGCTACTGAAACACACAGATCCTGTCTATAAGAGGTGGCCACATCAATCAAACCACCTGACATTTAAAGCTGTCTATCCCCTTAAAACAGTATTTATGCACTTCCAGGTGGTTATTTTAAAGTAGCTATAATATCTAAACAGTGCCCAAAAGGATAGGAAGTTGCTTACTACCCTTTTTAAATCTAAATCACTGCCCCACAGTCTTCCACTTACTGCACTTAACACCTCATCCCTGTGCCCTTCTACTCCTCCAAATATTGCAACCAGCGTGTCTGTCTGGATGTTCCACAGTCTCAATGCATGATCTATAAAGAACAAATAGAATTACATGCTGCTTTTTATATGCACATTTGAATAATATATTTCAGCTTAATCACTTTGAGTAACAGGTGTTTAGGTCAACATCAAAAATGCACTTAATTCTTCTTTTTTTTGTTAGAAACAAAAGAACTGCATTAACTGAAATTGCTGTTATAACTAACTTGCTGTTAAAAGTAATCCTGTAATTGAAAAAGTGTGCCCACCCCCTTCCCTAGGGAAAGTTTCTAGCAAAAAAACACTTGGATCTTTAGATCATCCAAAAAGCAAAGGAAAGTCTGATCTGACAAACATGCTTTTAGTCAGTCATAAGAACAATTTTATGTATCAAAAAATGCTAGAATTCCTTTCTGCCATTCTAATCAACTTTCAGAAAAGTTGTGATTTTCCATCCTTTAACTTTTAGGACATTATTCTTGGTGAACCACAGTCAGTAAAGGAGAGAAAAGCTGTTTACATAAATAATATATAGTCTAAAGTCAATTAGACTAATCCACTTACTTGAAGAAAGTTTAAACAATTTCTAATGAAGAACCTCTAGTGTGTCTCCCATTTGGAAATGGGAACCTCTAGAGTATTTCCCTGTTGGATTCCACAAGTACATTGCATTGAATTACAGCAACACCCAAAATCCCAGAAGGGAAACAGGTGGCCACTCAGTCCCCAATGTTTTCCTCCCTTTTTAATAATCTCTCAGCCAAGCAGTTCTAACAGCCCAAATATTCTCCTGCCTTCTCAGCAATAGCACCTGGTCCAGAGATTGCACATTAAAACTTTTAGTACTATGGCTGATGTCAAAACATTATTACAAAGAGAACCTAAAAAAATACACAGCAAGTGGATGTTTACAGACCCACAGCACCACATTGACCATTACAAGCATGAGAGAGCTTCCCAACTCCTGTTCTCATGCAGCTTCATCAGTAAGTTCAAATACACTAAAGTCAAAAGTCCCCTTAAGTGAATGTTTCCAGCTCAAAAATTCCTGAAGGCTACCTCCTTGTGGCAGATCATTCCCTTACTTAACAGAACAGTCAAGATCAGGAAGTTTTAACTGTTAGAATTTTCTGGACAAGCCCATAAGACACTACACCAAAAACTTCCTTTACTAAAATGCTTTTTACACAGAGTCCAATTAAAGTTGCCAAGCAACAGACAATCCAAGCTTTTCCCCATGAACAGGATGGTGAATGCTGTCTGCAACGTTAAGAGGTCCCCACTAGATGGCAACGTGATTCAACAACTGAAAAAACTTGAATTAACTGTCAGAAAGCAAAGAGCAAACCCAAGGCTCAGGATTCTTCTTTCCTAAAAAGCAGCACTATTCACAATCCCTTTGCACCATAGCTGGACTTATGGTTGTAGGCCATGGATTTAGTAAGTATAAAATATATAGCCATGTAAAAGCATGATTTGCTCTCAACTTTCAAAGTGAACTTGTTCAGTGCCATTCATAAAAAAAAAAAAAATCATGAAGGTTTTTGGCAACTCCAATCCAAAGTATCCCCATTTATACAAAAAAGAACAGAGGTTTTTCCTCACCTTTGCTTACAGATAAAAGAAGATTTGGATCTCTTGGATGGAATTTCAATTCATTGATTGCATTTCCATGGCCCACGTAGTGCTGGGATAGAATTCAGAGACCAAGTTACCATTTCTCCTCATGCTTACATGTACTTAGAAGAAAAAAGTGTCATACCTTACTAAAACACAAGCTGTATGTTAAAGTTGTGAACAATCACCTTTATGCACTGCATTGTAATGGGATTAATTATCCTAATAATACCCCTGGATCCTGCCACAGCCAGAAGAGGATGGCTTGTATTGCTATCATATGTCCATGCACAGGTATAGAAATTTTCATCTGCCTACAATGCCTCAAGTTAAGGATCACAGAACAAACAGGAGATTTTTTTTTTTTTAAACAACATTTTATTTTAAACGAACCTGTAGCTATTTTATCTAAGTGCCCAGGAGTCTCTGCTGGATCCAATAAGAAAAAAACACGCATTCAGTTGTACACCTGCAAATACCAACAACATCACCTTTTCCACAGATGTTGATTTCCTCACTTCTGTTCCATAACATAAAAGGAACACCTTCTCTTTCATAGCATCACCTTTGATTGGGAATAATGAATCATGACCAAGTTCACAAGTTAATGACTTTTGTACTGCAAACGATCAACACAAATTATTAACACTTCAGAGCATGAAACACAATTCTTATGCTTTAATGCCAGTTCTAATTCACAGGGAAACACTGTAAAGCAGGGAAACATTATACAAATATTAGTGTTGGGAAGATTAAACTGATGGAGAATCAGTTTTCAAATATTTGAATACAGTCTGGTCCCTGAGTCTGCGTTTTTAACATTTTTTCAATTGGAGGGATTCTAGGATGTGGGAAAGAGGCAAGACTTGGACCTAACATAAAGAATGCACCACATGAGCAAAGTATTAAATCACAGACAAAATATTTTCATGTTTTTTCCTCCAAAGCCTCTTGATTTTTCATAAAGAAGAAGCAAACACATGGGTATTTAACTTAAAAGGATACATCAGCATCCACATAAGACTGCAACAGACGGATTTCTCCTTGGGAATGACATTCATATAAAGTAACCTGGAGAAAAAAAAAAACAAAAATAAGAAGTGGGAGAGACTGCTGCTTAGTTGTATCATTTCAAAAGGAAATCACAGGCACCCATCTATTGACTGCCTGATGGGGAGAGGTAGAGTGCCTCTATGGTTTAGATTTCATCCATCATCCATTTGTTTACCACGTGGAAATGGTTTGATAAAAGAATGCCCACAGCAGTTTCATTAAAGCACCATTCCAGGACTTGTCAGCTGTCCTTCCCAGATATTGAAGTCTATTATTTGAATTGCCTTAATAAGATAAACCCTTGCTGGAATTAATTACTGCAGTTATCTCTAATGTGACTTGGTCTTGTAATGAGTCATTGATACCTTGCTTAAACTTAGTGTTTCTGGTGACTTGCCAGGCAGAACAAACCTAGAAATGAAACACTTCTTATTTATTCACAACACTTGCATAAAATGCACTTCTCAGGGGTTATTTTCAAGACTGAAATGACACCAAACATTGTTCAGAGGAAGTCTATAAATTCCCTCCACACAGGCCATGAATTTAGCTACTGAGCTGGCTGGCATCAGCCAGCCACTGTTGCAGACAGTTCTCATCCTGTATATATGAGTACATTACTGTTAGATAAGAATATTTATGAAGAGTAATTTTATTGAGAAGATACATTTAAGCACCTCTCTTCCTTATCCCATATGCATACTTCCGTAAGACTTTTCTCTTTATTCCATAGGTTAATTACCAAACAGCTAACATGACTTCATGGAACAATCCAAAGGATGCAGCTCTCCCAGATAAGAGACGCTACAGATCTTAGAAATCTGTTTATATTAAGTATTAAGCATCTGTTTATATTAAGTATTGCATGTCCATACCAAACACAGGTAAAGGGATTGCTTGGAAACAGGAATGCATGCAGAACCACACAGAAGGGCGTATGATGAAAAACAGATTACTCACTCTGTTGCTGCCTACAGTGGCAAAAACAAGAGGATCACCTTCTTTACTGTGCCAGTTAAACTGGACTCCAAACAGAGGCTGGCCATGGTCCTCCTATACGTGTAAAGTAAGTTTAGAGATTAAAAACCCAACAAAACCCACAAGCATATCATTGCTGTGAAATTCAACAGTTTCATTGACAATTTTCCCTCCTAAACTAATGGGTTCACAGCCAGTATAATTTTAGACAGTGAACGGTTAACAGTCATAGTTTTGTAACGCCACATTTTAACTTGGCCGTCTTAAAGGGAGGTTAAAGGAATATTCTGACAAATACACCCCTCCCTTTTCCTTCTCTACCAACCTTTTAAAAAGTAAATGGGAAAAACTGTTGTCTCAGTCATGCCTAGAAGCTGGCAGAACTCCCAAGCTGTATTTGCAGCTCTAGTATTTTGGTCTACAATTTTCAGTAAGGCAACCTCTGCATCTAAGGTCATTTTCTATCATAATTACTTATACACAAGGATTTGCAACTTCACAGAGAAGAATTACCAGGAGAGAGAAGAATTATATTGGTATAAGGATGGAAAACAGCCACATTTCACTATTACATTACAGTTAGGTCTTGTAACTTTGTCACAGACACAAGGAACTCTCTCCAGTGTGTCACAATACTGCTACAAAGTTCATGTCTACAAAATGTTTTCAGATGTTTTACAAACAGTTACCAGAGAAATGCCAAGTATTATTTTTATACAACTTACATCAGTTTGAGAGAAAAAAAAAAAAAAAGGAGGTATGTTTATGAATTGTGATGAATATGGTGGTGCTTGTTAATAATTGATAACAGTATTTTGGCCTGTCCTGACAGGATGTTTTCAGCAAGAATAATGTTCATTAAAGTGCCTCCCCACGGGGGACTGTCTGGGACAGCACAGGCAGGAAGGAAGTGTCTCATGATGGCTGTTCAGCAGCCTTCAAATGGCAGCACTTCAGAGACAACACCAGAAGTACCAGCTCTGGCCTATCCAAAACCAAAGAATAAATTCAAGGAGGGGGTGTGAGTAGGGAGTCTAACACTCCTTAGTAAAAGAAAAGGAAAGGAAGTCTGGAAAAATTTTAAATAGCATTATTTACTGACAAAGGCAGTATCTGTTATTAACAGAAGTAACTAGAAGAGCTAGAAAGAGAAAGCAGAAAATCTTTCAGAGATTAAGGCCCTCCTGCAATTCTTAAGAGAGATAACAACTTCCAAAGCTCAATACAGATTAAAAAGAATTGTTCAAAGCTTAACTCAAAGTATTACCCATCATAACACAAAAGCACAAACTAATGGCTTCATGAGATGAGGGATATAGGATATTAAGAAAGGGAAAAGTAGCAGGGCTCTTAGTAACCCCAGAACAGAAGGAAAAAGCAGGAATTCAGTATCTGCAAAGTATTACAGTTGAAATAGAAATGAATAATGAGGAAAACCATAAGGCATAATATTGCATACACATGGCCACGATTTTTTTGTGTGCAATACATTTATTAATTTTACTTTTTAGCAAGAAAGTTATTAATTTTACTTGGTAGCCTAAAATTTTGAGTGTATTAAAGTCTTGTTTGAAGAGAATGGCTGAGAGATCAAACTGAAAATGCTTAATAAAGTTTTTCCACTAATAATAACAACTTGGTTTCAAATTCCTGCCTGAAGGAGTTCCTGCTGCTGAACAGTGAGTGCTTCTGACATATCACATGAAGATAATACAGGTAAAATGCATGGGCTCCCACTGCTTTATTACAGAGATATATTAGCAGGTTTTGCATTTGTTTTTCTGGAACAACCTTGCTCTCTGTTATGTGCCCTGTTTCTGATAAATTTAACAAAACATGGAAAGTGAAAAGCCGTATGTTTTTCACCCTCCAGACAGGATATTTTTCCAGCATATGCTGCAGTAAGTTTCTGATTTTCTAGGCAGGACCCAGACAAAGGTGATAAGTAGAGATATATAACAGAGTGCTACACTGTTTCCATATTTTTATACTTGAGTACATACCTAAAGTATTTTGCAAGCTTTTTCAAAGAAAACCTATTTCCCTGGAAAAAATTACTCTGCAAGACAAAGGTCTTTAGTCTACTTACTTCACCCACACTACATTTCTCACACCAAGTGCTACAATCTCCAGGAGCCTGACTGTACATATTGCAGTTTTGCTGGTGTTTGATAGATGAAGCAGCCAGGCAGAGGCTCCTGCAGGAAGATACCAGGGTATCTGCAGAAGCTCTGCTCCTATTTAAACTCCTAACATCCCCAGTGGTCAGAGACAGCACATAGCTATTTTGAAAATACTTGTCTGCTCTAATTTTTGTCCCAAGTGCTAAACAATGAAGGAGATTTTCCAAAACATTGTATTCTAGGTGCCGTACACGATGGTTATACTCAGATGCCAAGTATGTGACACAAATGTGACACTGGTTTGTACCGACAGAAGTGACCCAGATACCCGTCCAGAAGTGAAATTGTGAAATGCCATCTTGTCCCTGCTATGAATAAAGGGCACGAAACCCAAAGTACCCAGGTTCTTCATGTACTAGAGGAAGAAGGCAGAGAAGAAAACAGACCTATTGCTACAAAAGCAAATAAATAAACAATCAATAATGAATTCCAGCCTTACTCACTCAACACCAACTTGGGTTCAATCAAAGAGTAAGATCAGACCTGGTTTTAGACAGAAAGCAGTGAAGTCATTACAATGGCAAAAATAATCCCCTGCATTAATGCCTTTTAATCTGTGTCACCCACACTGCCAGTGGGGAACCAACAACCCACACGTGCATTTCCAGTTCCCAGAAGTGGAAGTGAGCCATTGTGGGCAGTGGGTGTAGTGACATTTAGTTTCCATTACACACCAATAAGCTAGAATTCTGCATGGCATTGCATACTGGTTCCCAGCTCAGGGGACAGCAAGGAGAAGCTGAGACAACACCAGGCTGCTTAGAACTTAAGCACACACCCTAAGCAGAAGTAAAGGGTAGGGAAAATAATTGCATTGCTTTAAAGGGGGCACAACAAAGCAAAACATACACAGTTTTCTGCCAAATGATCTATCAGCAAGATATAGATGGATATATGAGGATGTGCAACTGCGCTAGCTGTTAGCTGTATATGCTCATTTATAAACCCTATTTCCATTCAGTCCACAGAAAGCAAAGATTTCTCAGTACATTTTACAAGTAACTTAGTACTTCATAAAGAAAAAAGGCATTTTTTTATTTCCTGACATTTTCCAAGATTTTCCATTTTTTCTCCATTATTTTTGTTTTCCTGATGCTTAAATTTCACCCAAAATAACTCCCAAAGGAGTGTTTAAAACACATATTTAGCAAGCACTGAGTTTTTCAGGCTGAGTCATAACCATTTAACACTCAAAGCAGACAGTAATGGCCATATTTGTTTCCCAAAGGAAAAAACTAAAAAACAAAATAAGATGGGAAAACCAAAAGTACAAAAGTGGAAAAACATGTAATTTATACACCTCTAAAGAATCCTTAAATCATGTTGACCCTTCATTAACTTCAATACCTGCATCTTACAGCACAGTTCAAAATCATATAAACTAGGGGATATATGATATGGTACTCAAAGAGTCAGAAGTGTCTTTCTAAACCCACATACAACATTCAATCATTAGAGTTTTCTCCAGAGTCTCTGCAAAGTTAGTATGGAAGAGCAGGAAAAGGAAGAGAGGCTTCCTCAGTCATGAAGTAAAAAAACAAATTTGGCTGCTACCTAGTCTTCATCTTAACATGCACATCTCTTATTATTACCATTAATTTCTGACCAAAGAGAAACAGGGGAAAAAAGCTAATAATAATACCCCACTTGATTGAAATGCTACATTTACTCCCTCACAGCTTGATTCCACTTGCACAGGAATCTGTTCCCAGCCCTGAACCAAATCCAAGGAAGTCAGGGATTGCTTAGTTTCATAGCTTGGTCTTTTGGATCACCCTGCAGTAGGGTCTGGATTGACAGTGGGGTGAGGGAATGTTTTGTTTTCCCAGAAGACACTTGGAAAGTAGCAACCCTTTTTGTCTGCAGACAGAAAACAAGCATGAGTAACAAAGCTCAGAACCTGTTAAAAGTTTGGGTGTCCAAAGGCCTGTGTCTGCGTTTGAAGTATGACTTGAAGCTGCAAATAGCACCATCCGCGGGGGCGACTCACAGGAACTGCTGCCTACTTTGGTGGAATGAAACAACTTCCCTGCCTCCTACACCCTCAAAGGCATGGAGGCAATCTTTATACTTCAAGAACACATTAAGATCAATTTGTTTCCCAGATACCTTTGTCAGCGTAACTTCGTATCGCAATTTCTCCAGTGGCAAAGCTCATTTAGAAGGTTTCCATGCCCCAAACCTTTTATCCCCTCCCACTCAGGTACCCCAGTGTCTCACTACAGCAGCCTGAAGACAAAGCTCAGAAACGGAGCCACATCAGCACAGCTCCATAGTTAAGCATAGGGAGAATGAAAAAATACTCTTAGAGCAATTCTGCAGAAAATATCCACTGCTGAGCTACACAGATCCTCACAGAGCTTGCCATAACTCCCATCTTGCCACATAAATATCCCACACAAAGCAGAGGAATGAGCAAAAGAAGAACATCCTGACAGAGTAAAATAGTCATGAATGAGAAAACTCCTTCAGTTCACCACAGTCTGTCACCAGTGCAGAGGAAAACAGCACTATGCTAAAAGAGCAGAACAAGGAGTAAAGACCATGAATCCACATCTCTTAAAACCACCAGGTGTTACATGGGAAGACACATACTGCCTGAATCAGGTGCGAACACATGATCCCAACACTCACAATAAATTAACCAAATTGCACTACACAGTAGTTATGATATTGCCAGGGGATAGAAAATACCTGATCTGGTTAAGTGTGAGGAAAAAGCTACTCTAAGACTGTTGGGTGGATTTGTTCTGGTTTTTTTTCAACACATAGAGAAATCTGAGCAGGTTCTGTGCTTTGCATGGAGTTGTCACAGGTTTTGTTTTAGTTCAATTTGTTTATCCAACTTCTTGTATTTCACTAGCATCTACAGCTTCAATGAAATACATGATCATAGCATTGCACAGAACTTTGCAAACTCTACAAAAACAAGGTTAACTGCAGCACTATCTACTATTTCCTATTTCTCAGTATCCTTTTTCTTGAAAACTTTGGCTATTCCAAGCAAGAAAGGTAACTGCTTCAAATCAGCAGGAAACATAATTGCTTCCAGATATTTAAAAGTATCTAGCTTGAGGCTGTCTCACAGCCAACATTAACATTGCTGCCAGTAAGTGATGCCCAGCATTCCCTGAAGCTCATGCATACCTACCTTGAGGCTATTTACACATTTGAAGGAATATTTGCACTTCTTCGACTTCCATTTTCCTTTCCCCCAGCTTTTCCTTCCTGGTGCATTAGGAGTGTTTGTTGGCGTATCAGGGCGCTCGGTGTTAGTACCGCTCTCAATGCTCACAGCATCATCCTGAAAACATTCAGAATCACACAGAATGTCACACAGAGATCATAACTGCTGCATACATTCAACTGATCTTGCAGCACTTGGCCTTTTCACTTTTTCTTGTCATTCATAAGAACAGATCTCCCAGGACTTGGTGTTATTTAGATTCATGCATTTTAATCTAATGCCAGCATAGTAGCATTCTTCCCTAGAAACAGAACATGAATCACATGAGGACTAATCCAAGAGGGAGAGATATGAACTGTGATCTAGTGATGTTTCTTCAGAATACTGGTAGCTGCTCTCAAGAAAATGTCTAGAGATAAAGCAGCTGCTTCCCCTAGAAAACATCTTTGATCCAGATGAAATGAGTCTTTCTGAAGTAATGAAGAAGAGTTGCTTGTGTAAAAACATCAGGCTTGACCTTACCAAGAACCGAGCCATTCTGAGGCTTCTGTACTCACAGCACGGTTCAGCATCAACACCAGAAGACAAAGTCCCTCCTCTCCCTCCTACTCTTTTCCACAGACATTTACTTGTTTCCACTAAAAGCTAAATTCTGATCAGCTAACTAATTCAACTGGCCCTCTAACCATTAGCATAAGATAAGAATGGGGAAAATTGAAAAAAAAAGGGATACACAAAACACTCTGTCCAGCCGCTGAGATTTTAAATCAGCTTTGGACAATCAGCAGAAACTACAAATTCCTGTGTGGTCTGACTGCAGGGCACTGGTTAAAAGGACACCTCCCTGCACCACCTATCACAGAGCACTTCACCTGCACTGTACCTGCCAGCTCTGTGCTTCTGTATGAGTACGTTCAGCTTGTTAAAAATCAACTTTTCCTATTTTTTCTGGCAAGATAGTCCATTCACTTTCCATCACACTTGTGGGGGGAAAACAACTCATCCTAGGCCAAGTAAATTCTATAACTGAACTAAGGAAGACAGAGGCAGACAACAGCCTGTCACTGCAGGGGATTCACGAAGCTGCATTAGGAACTGCACTAGGAATAAGGAATGAAGTCAACTGTAAACATTAATACACTGCTTCCCACCAAACATTCATTCTTTGTCCCAGTTTCATGTTTCTATTATCAGAAGCCTGAAGAGGTGTACTAGTCTTTGTTTGCCCAACAACTCTGAAAGACAGGACATTCAGAGGACAAAAAGGAGGAAAGATGCCACACAAGCCCAGTGTACTGCCCATATCTGGAATCATTTTCTTCACATTGGACCCCTAAAAGAGCCAACCCTCCACTAATATTCACAATCAATTTTACAGTTTTAAGTTTTCCTGTTTCTTCTCCTTTACCCTAAAAAAATTTCAGAGTTTGCCAAATTCTCATCTCCCAAGCACATTTGCCAGAACTTCAATACTTGACAAGACTGAAGTTTTCTCTGGACTAGACAGATACTGCCCACATGAGAACACCAGGCAGTTGGTGTGGTGAACTATACCAGGTATCTGCAACTACCACACAACCAACAAACCTGCACACAGGACACCTGCAGAGCAAAACACACCCCTTCTCCAAATCAACATCACTACGGCAACTTTTAAACAGAACCCCCCATCTTGCAGGAGTAGTGGAGTCCAGTAACAGACTCTTGAAAAAGGAATCCCTTCACCATTGAGGTAACCCACAGAGAATTGTATAATCAGAGTGGTTTGTGTTGGAAGGGACCTTAAAGATCATCTAGTCCAACCCACTGCCATGGGCAAGGACACCTTTCACTAGAGCAAGCTGTGTAGAGCCACATCCAGCCTGGCCTTAAACATCTCCAGGGATGGGGCAACCTATTCCATGCTCAGTGATAGCCTACGACTGACAACAAATTAAGCCTGAATGTCTGTCACCAAATTACACTTGGATCTACGAATGCTGCTAAGCTACTAAAAAAACCCAAAGAGCAGCAGTGTGGAACATCTCAAACCTGCCTGTCACCTCACAAGCACCACTTCCAAAGGTTGTGGAGAATGTGGTCCAGATCCCTCACTTGCTGAAAAAGTGCAGAAAAAAAACCTTCCACACACTACAAAATACACACACCATAACTGCACAACTCTCTCCACACCAGCAACTACATAAAGTGACTTCTCGATACCTTAGGTTAAGTTTACCTTTCAGATATAAAGTTATTCTACATCAATCACATTACCTTTGCTCTGAGCACTAGAATTTCACCTAACTTAGAGACTACAGACCCCATCCCTGCTGCCTTCTGCCGGGAGTAGTTTACGAGCACCATCTCCTACTCCTCATTCACCAAAAGCCGCACACATAAACTTATGCTTCATGTTACTCTACAACGTGACAGTGAAGACACACAATGCAAAACTGCAAGAAAGACGGAAAATGCTGCTGGTTTGCAGGGAAAATTAAAAAAAAAAAAGTCTGATGGCTTGAAGCAGAGTTCGAGACAGAGCCCGCTCGCAGTCTGGGCCTCAAATCCACCTTCAC